AGTTCAAACCTCAAAGTAAACAGATACTTGTGGCTAATCACAATTACATGTAAATTAAGGCTCCGAAATTTTCATGTCAAGTAGAGATTTTCAATGTAAGGAAATTTAAATTGTATCATTTGGGTATTAAATGCCTTTTCCAAAGTACTGAAGCTTTGAAATAAAGCAATAGAACTTCAGATGGTATATCTGATTGATGGAAATGTCTAAACGTGCTGGTGACAGTTAGCATTGTTGGTGGGCAAATGGTTCCCAAGAGGCCAACAGAAGTGTCACAGGGATTATGTAATAACTACTGCAAAAAAAGTTGATCCCATCTGTTTCTGGAATCAGAGCTTCCAATGATGCATAGATTGGTAATCCAATACAATGTTTAGTCTGAATATGTATTACATTAATGTCATCAGGATTTTTTTTTGTTGATTTGATTCATTAAAAGCTGTTAGTCTGTAAAAGCAATAAGTGCATGTGTCTGCTGAAAGAAGTCTGGGAAATTGCTCCAACATATGGCATTTGGAGCAGATCAAAATACAGATGTACTTTTTCACAGACCCTTTGATGATTTAGTCTGTATTGTACACATGTCTTAAGAGTTTCAGTGGTATGTCTTAAGACTTTCAGTCGCATTACACAAATGCCTTGAGCTGTAAGCTCTTGCAAGTAGTGTTCAGGCCAAAGAGATACAGTCAAACCTCGTTATCTCGAACTCAAAGGGACTGAGAAAATACTTTGAGATAACCAAGCATTAGAGATATCCAGGTAAAATATTTAAGGAATAAGCATTTGGGACTTCAAAATGACTTCGACATACCCATGGTATTTTGAGATATCCGTGTTCGAGATACCGAAGTTCAACTGTATAAGCTTAGAATTCTCTAAGCACTAACTCATCAATTATATATCTATCCATACAGGTACATGTATACCTATGCAAAGCTGAATGAATTTACTTTTATATTTGCTTTTATGATGCAGAACTCTTTGAGTCATTGCCTGCATGGTTTCAGATGAGAGTGACACAGAATTACAACATTTGGAGTCGGATAGAAAGGAAGTAATTACTACATTGTGCATTCAATCTGATTCACTTTATTGTCAGATCTCATTATAAAAAAGAACTCCTATTTCAGAGTTGCTGCAGTGGATGGGTGAATTATGACTAATATTTATAAAAGTTTGATGAAAATCGGCAGTGATGTGTTCTGGAGAGAATGTAAAATTTGTCACTTTTTTGTATGAAGATAGTCATGTTTTCTCAAAATGTGTTGGTCTTTATTGTCAACAGATGTAGGAGGGAGCTAATTTCTGTCTCGAACAGAAATAAAACCGTTTTGGTGGTGTATGTCACATGTTCAAAATGGCTGAAACAGCTGTTGTCAAGAACTGTTCAGTGGCATTATTAACGTCCCACCCAGACCCAACCCAACCCCACCAACTCCAACATACCCTGTAATTTAATTTTTCAGACATTGCTCAAATTTTGAGTGCAATTTCAAGTTATTTATTATAGCTAATTTAATGTTTGAATAAAATTTCTGCATTTTCAATGAAATGATGATCATCAAATTATCCAACATGTCAATAATAGAAAAATGTAGTTGCATGATTACAGTCTTAATGTTAAAGCAATTCTCTATCTAAATTGTACAAATATGTACATGCTGATCTTAATTTTTTTTTTATGAATAATATCACAGCACATGATAAATTGCAAAAAATAAGGGACCCCATTTTCCTCTTATCTAGATAAGTGAATTAAGTGAAATAAATGGATCTATATATGGACAGCACTGAGCTAATTTGAGTACAAGGAAAGTTGATCCCCTCCCCAGAACAGAAATACACGATTTAAAAAGTGATAGTGCCAAATTTCAAAATACCATGAAGATTGTTCAGTTTGAAATTCTGATGTGCTATTGTAAATTTGTCATTAAAAATGAAGTGTTATGGGTTGGAAAATATTTTCTTATTACACGTGTTACAAATGCGTCTAGAATTAGCACTCACTGAGTAATGAGGATTATGAATGACCAGCTGGTGAATGTAGGCACCTCATAATTAAGGCTTTTGTTTATATAAATAAAAAAAAGTTGAAGGAACAATTTTTAGAATGCTAAAGTTTGTACTTAAAATGATATGCAGTACACACTTGTAATGCAATACATGTACTCCCAGTATAATGAGTTTCACGATGGGGAATATATATACTCTAAAACAGTATAGTTTTGTTAATGTTTAGGTCAAAACTTATTGCTATGAGATGGCAGTTTTTCTAGAGTTTCTAGATGTATAGACTTTCCATGATATACATGTAACCTTTCAAGGTGTAAAAAGGTTAGCTTTAATGATAATATGGAGTTTCTTGTGACAATTGTTACAAAGAAATTAAAGTTTATATGTATTTCACTGCAGTGGGAGAAAAATTTGATATTGATAAAAAACATTGTTCTCTTATGATACCTAGTATTTTTTACATGCAGTGGTAATGTATTCCTTTCCAAATATTTGTATGTCGAAGAAGGTAGGAAAAAACATATAACACAGTGAAAATGTATGCATATGACTTTCACCTTACTGAACATCTGCCATTTTCTCCCTCTATTAAATTCATATATTTACAAAGGACAGTGACTTGTAACAATACATAAACAAACCAGGTACTAGTTTACCCATTATTTCATGCATGGTATTAATAGTCTAAACAGGAGGCTTGTTTTGGTGAGGTTCACAGCATGGTAAATCAATTACTCACCAGGACTGTCATTGGACAAGTCAGCAGGATCAGGTGACCAATTTGTTGATTGTCCACCTGGCCATCAAGCAAAAGTGGTACAAATGAAGGGTCCTCTTTCTTTCTTTCTTGACTGTTCTTCATGTTGTGGTTTGAAAATTTCTTTACAAAGTAGTTGTTATTATGGAAAGATGATTCAAAAATAAAATTCTTTCTTCGTTTGCTAATATTGGAAATAATGGTTGCAACCTTTATAGAAACAAGATATGTTTGTGAAACACTGATGCCCCCATATGGCAACTTATAGCAAAGGTTAAACTTTCTCAAATGCAAGTCAAATATGTTGGTACCCACAGTAAGGTCTTGTCTCGAGAAATATATCTGTGAAATATGAAAGCCCTAGCAGCAACCATTGAAAAGATATGGAAAAGGTTAAAGTTTTTCAAAAGTAAGTCAAACATCAAGGTCAAATGGTCAAATGGTCAAAATTAATGGTGTCCAAGGAAAGGCCTTCTCCTAAGAAATACACGTGAAATATGAAAACTATCATAAGCACATCATAAGCACATTCAAAAGTTATTGCGAAGGTTAAAGTTTTTCAGAAGTAGGTCAAAGTCCAAGGACAAGGTTAATGGATTACAGTTGTTGGTATCCAAGGAAGGTTTTGTCACAGGGAATAAACATGTTAAATCTGAAAGCCCCAGCACCAATTGTTGTTTTTTGTTTGTTTTGAACATATTTTATTGACAATGTGTCAAAGGGATTGGACACAAGTTCTAAAAACTTAGATAGTCCTCTCCCATACATAAAATCTTAATAGCCATACAACATTTACAAAGATTTACAATTTTACAATCTTATACATGAACGTAGAAGAACAAAGACAATAGTTATTATTGCTAAGGAATATCAGTTGATATAATGATGATTATAATGACGTCAATAACCATATTAAAACCAATTGTTCAAAAGTTATGGCCAAGGTTAAAGTTTTCCAAAAGTAGGTCAAACTCCAAGGTCAAAGGATCAAAGTTGTTGGTGCCCAAGGAAAGGCCTTCTCCCAAGAAATACATATGTGAAGTATGAAAGCCCTAGCACAAACCGTTGAAAAGTTATGGCCAAGGTTGTTTTTCAAAAGTAAGTCAAATTCCAAGGTCAATGGATTAGAATTGTTGGTATCCAAAGGAAGGTCTTGTCACAAGGATTATACATGTGAGGTATGAAAGCCCTAGTACCGACCATACAAAAGTTAAGGCCAAGGTTGAAGTTTTTCAAAAGTAGGTCAAACTTTTAGGTCAAGGTCAAAGGGTCAGAATTGTTGGTGCCCAAGGAAAGGCCTTCTCCTAAGAAGTACATATTTGAAGTATGAAAGCCCTAGCACCAACTGTTCAAAAGTTATGGCCAAGGTTAAAGTTTTTCAAAAGTAGATCAAACTCTTAGGTCAAGGTCAAAGTTGTTGGTATCCAAAGGAAGGTCTTGTCACAAGGTATACACATGTGAAGTATGAAAGCCTTAGCACCAATTGTTCAAAAGTTATGGCAAAGGTCAAAGTTTGGTAAAAATTTTGCAAAAAACTGGGTCAAACTCCAAGGTCAAGGTCAAATATGATGGTACCCAAAGAAAGGTCTTATCACAAGGAATATGAAAGCCATAGCTCCACCCAATCAAAAGATATGGGCAATGTTAAAGTTTTTGCAGACATACAGACAGACAGACAGATGGATGTACGGACGACCCTCGAATCTACGATACAGGGGCATAAAAATACAGGTACATAACAAACTTACTGCATCGTTATATAAATTTTTTTCTGCAGTGGTTGCAACCATTAATTCCCATATTAACAATCAAAATAAAACAATTTATTGTTTGTATCATAGGATATTTCATTGATGGAAGAACTTGCCAACTGATAAAGAAATTTTTCATACAGATGGCTTTAAAAATTGGTTCTAACTTCTTTAAAGTTAATTGGTTGATTAAGGGGAATAGATTTTCATGAGCAATAAAAGAAAAGAGAAAAATGTTCAGTCGATTTAAATATGTTTTTATGAATTTTTAAGATTTCAAGTATGAAGTTCAGTACATTGGACACCATAATTTTTTTCTTCATAAATTGAATATATCAAAGGAAGTTTCTCTGACCACCACAAGAATTTCAGTTTAATAAAATACAGCTTTTATATATCAAGAAACAAATCAAAGGACATTCTACTTAATGATTTCAATTCATATTTCTGATATTGTTTATAGGTGTAATGGGTAAAAGGCACATAATGTATCTGGGATGACAGGTGTGACTTTTGAGATCCAGTATGCCTGCAGCAGGGAGGATCATTATCCACTGTATTCTTCTCAGTATTCTATTACCAATCCCATCAGCTGCAGTTGAAGAACTTGGAGAAAAACCATTCCCTAAAGAATATGATTTTAGATATACAGATTTTGAAGGTAAGCATTAAAGATTCTTTTCCTCCAATTAGAACTTTTATAAACTGTGAAAAAGTAAACATTTATGAAATATGCTGAAACATTTGCTTGGCAGTTTTGTGTATGTGACGGCAAAGTTGGGCTTAAACTAAAATGAAATGAGTTGTGTATTAAGCACCAGAATGGAATTCTTCACCAAGGCTATGGTGACCCAGAAGATGTTATAAACTTGATCATTATTTCTTGTCAATGTTTGTTTTGGGGCTGTGTCTTCTCTGTAGTGCTGTAATCATAAACTGTCTTCAGGGTCAGAATTGGGAACATCTGGGAGGATAAAAATACTTTTTCCATATTTTTCACCCCATGTTGGGTTATAAGGCTGCTCTGAACATGAAGGCAAAGAACTCCCAAGATTTTAGTTTTATCTGTTTTCTCAAATGATATTCATTGATAAATGGTTGAGTTGTGCTTTTCAACAGCTCTTAGCAATGACTTGAAAATTCTGATAAAATTCTGTCAGCCACTTGTACATAGATTAGGTGCCAGGCTGGAGTACTTTGTGGACACGTGAACTGTTAGTTTGTTTGACATTTCCTACTGTGCTTGGTTATTGATGTGCAAAAGAAAAACATTGTAGTCTATGCAATTTTTCAGGTGGCCCAATATATCACATTTTGAATGCCAAATTTGATTTTTTTTCATTCCAGAAGACTCATCTTAAAATTTTATAAGGAGATGTATCTGAGTTGTATATATTTCTGTAGTGGGTGCTATTTATTAAACGAAATGATTAATTGTCAGAATTGTCATTCATCATATTTTTATGAGTCATATGGGAAAACTTTTTATGAGAAGAAAAACCCTGCAATAACTTCAATATTTGTGTAAGATAATACAGTTTGTAAAACACTCTCTAATAGCCCAATGTAATGCAATACAAATTGATCTATGTCTCCTGTAACATGGCCAATTTCCTTCACTTGTCTGCTCTGTTCACGTTAACAAGAAATCTAGTACCTTTTTTCATTATGGGAGGGGAGGACCTTGTCTAATAAAACAGAAATAAACAATAATTGCTTCTAAATCCATATCCCTACCCAGGAGGTTACCATTACATCCAATCGCAGGAGGATGGACCATCATTAAGCATTAAAACTGCCCTTAAAGCATTCAGTAGTCTTGACCTCGCTTTATCCCTCTTGATTTTTGTGTTCACCAGTGTTAAGAGTCTTTATAAACCTGAAAGTCTCCAAAAAAATCCAAACCTGATTACAATGTACAACTCTTTTGACACTTTGCTTGACACGACTTGTGTGGTTAAGATTTTATTAAAGGGCTCCAGAGAAAAGTTCATGAATGTGATGTTTTTATAGGTGTTACCGTTTATTGTTATTATTCCACAGTAATCAAGTCTGGTAATAACATTTGAAGGGTCTCTTGTCTGTCCGTGCGACATAAATATTTGTTTAGTTGATCGAAAAGAATATTTGAAGCTTGTAAGATTTGTCAATGAAAACACTACTTTGTCAATAGGAATCTGCAATTCTTATTACAGTTTCGAGTTTCATTGTGTATTGATCTTGAAAACTTTTTTTTATAAAGTGATTGATTTAAATCTTTTACTTGAAACCCAGTGATAATATCAATATTGTACTTGCTGTAGAAAAAATTCTGTTAAACTAGAAATAAATTTCTTTGAAGTCTGATTGAATGTAACTCGATGAGGTCATTTTGTTATTAGAAATATGACCAAGAATTTTGACTTTAAAAGGGTTAAGATGGTTCCTCCCCAAATTAAGGGTATAAGTGATATTTTCAGTTAAGTATACATGTAACCTATCTTTGAATGTTTTTTTAATACAATGAATACAGCTGTATTTCTGTTTTTACAGTTGGTTTATTAGTTTTGAGAAAATCACTTTATTTTGTTGACTGGTAGACTGGCAAGTTTTAATTTTTTGGTAATCTTCCAGAAAATAAAAAGATTAAACAAAGTTGTTAGAGATGATTTATTGTCTCTTTCAAAAGTTTTTGCAGCTATGTTAAAGGTTATTAATGAATATCATTTATTTCCATAAAAAAACACCAATGGTAGTTATGAAATATATAATCCAGTTGTTGGTGGGCCATAGATCAATGGCAATGGTGTGGTTATGTTGTGTCCTTATGCATATAGTTCATAATTACAACAAAAAATACGAATAACCAATCTAAAGAGACAGGCAACAGAAACTGAATTTTAATTCAACCACAGGCACAATTACTTTCTACTGAAATAATAAAATTTCAGTGTTGCTTCCTAAAATAGGCATGTTGTATGTAATTGTTTAAATAGGAAATAGAGTTTGGCTATGTCCATGCAGATAGAGTTTTGACCTTGACCTTTGTAGGACAGTCCCTGGTCTACTTCAGTGGAATTAATGCCTGCCCTGACCGGGACATAGGGGTAATGAGCTGGGTCAGGGCAGTGCTATCTGGTCCCCTTCTCTGTGTGTGCTCATTAAAATACCTTTCACCTGAGATAAATTATCAGCGTGTTGAGTCTTGACCACGTAATGTTGTCACATTTAATAGATAAGTAATGTATTGGAATCTGTGACAGAGACAGGTGTATCCTGAATGTCAGCAAAAAAGAAAAAATGTTGGAAATATAAAAACAAAATTGGTACATACTACATGATAAACTACAGTATACTGTATAACAAGTAATTTATGCAGTTGCATGTCCAATTTTAACTGGAATTTTGCAGTTTTGTAAAAATTGAAATTGATAGAAGTGCAAAACATTTAATTCTCTATCTTTGGTACTGGGGTATGAAATCATCAAACCTTATACATCTCTAATGCAATTTTTCTGTGCAGAATTATGTAATTTTGTGAAACAAGAGAAGTACATTTCATGATACATCTAATTTCTGCCTCCAAAGATTTTTATTAATAAACTGTTGTGGTTCATAATTGCTTGATTATTGTAATTATAGTATTAAGACATTATGTCAGAAATGGTGCAATAAAGGAAGAAAATTAAAGCTATTTGTGGGGCTAATAAGACAATCAGACATTTGTACTCTTGCAAAAGCAACCCGATTCATAATATAAAAAAAAAAAATAGAGTAAAACACGCATATTCTTTGAATTTATGATTCCAGATTTAGGTATTATTGATGAGGTTTTATTTAATGGTTTTGTTCATAAAATTTCATCACAGCTGGTATAATGTTTTCTATTTTTAGTACACTCAAAAGATGAAAGAAACTGCATCTTTGTACGTGCAAAATGGTATACATTTAAATTGATGTATTTATGATTCAATGTGGGGACATCTCTCAACTGACACAGGGACATTTGAGAAGAACTTGAATGACATGTTTCCTTGTTGAAAGCTTTAAGGGCTTTGGATCATCTTGTATTAAATTATCAAGTTTGAATTACTTAAAGTCTCATTGGGAGGCTACAGGTGTGTCCAAATGATTTAAACTTTGTCGTAATCACTTAAATAGACAGAAAAATGGGGGCACGATCCTTTTGAAGTGTTTCAGATCTTTGTAGATATCCAAAATGTTAGGTCTGAACCTGTGAATGCAATTGACCCCATTTGAAATCTGAACGAATTTGATGCATTTGAGAATTATTAAAAATATTGACAGACTTATCCTGTGGATTTTCTTTTTGAAATGTGGGATTGTAATACTCAGTACAAGAAATTGTTTGTTGTTGTTTAAAGATTTTGTACCAGATTTGATGTTAGTGATTTTAAGATTTAAAGGCACAGGTGGTTCACACCATAAGAAGTGTTATAGTTACATTAAATAGGATGGAAGAAGGATTTCCTTAGGACCTGTTAATGGAGATGTAATCCCATTTTCTCACCATAACAAGTTAGAATATACCCAGAATTGAGGGAAGTCTGCTCTCCTGAAAGAGTCGGATAACCACATTCTGGACCACTGTATTTTTGAAGTCACATACTGTTATGATGTGTTATAAATGACCTAATGGGTGTTTAATCAAATTTATAAGAATCATAAATTAACCAGTCCAAAAGCTTAAAGAATTAATACAGTAGTGTTTGTGTGTATTGTAGTCAGACTTAAAAGTTTCCAGAATTGTATTAAATATTAAAGACTTTGAGAAATTTCTTTGTGGATTTAAAAGTAATTGAAAAGCAATTAATACTATACTTGATTTGAAATTATATCTGATACCCTTTGGTAATGTTTGAAATTTGTTCTGCATATACTGTAGTAGTTGAATTAACATTTTGACATTATATGCATGACTTATTACTACCTAGGTCAAGATCTATAAATTTTAATAGATTATAAGTTTTTTCCAGGTTTTTATATTATATAATTACACATTCTTTAAAACTATAAAAGAAATGGCCTTGACTTCTTGAACCAGTGATCTTCTTTTGTTTCCTATTTGATACTTACTACAATATTAGGAGATCAAAATGTGTTAATATTAGTTTATTTAGAAGAAAGTCATACAAACTTTTAAATTTTTGAATTGGTAAATAAACTGAAAGTGCATGATCCTTAAAATTTCATACAAATTTGATCGGGAATAGAATAACGTGTGAAGATATAATTAAGCTTAGTAGATATCTTATAACATCCCTTCTACACTTATAGGAAGCCGTCATAGATAGATGTCTTCATACACACAACTGCTCGAGATAGCATGTCTTACATACATGCTTAATTAACTTTAAATGCATCAAGTACATCTGGTTGTCAACCTCCCTAGGATAATTCTAATATGTCCTGAATGAAAGGTCAGATCCACTGACCCCAGAAAACACTGAATTCCTGTGTGTAGACTTTTTTGTGGAGGATTTTCTGACACATGTCAGGAGATGATGTCATGAAATATTAAAGAAATTTACAGAGAGTCGTGTTCTGATAGTTTTATCATTAATTACCTCCCTTGGCAGAATAGAAGGAATAGAGATGTGAAGTAGATGTGAAATTTATGTGTATTGGGTCTCTGGGGTTGACAGGACAATACACAGGAAG